TCTTCTGGATTTATTTATCCCGTGGACCCAGTGAACTAGAGCTTTTATATTTCATCGCTCAGCCATCTGTCTTCACAACACAGGCCTGGCTATGTCATCAGCAGCTAAACCTCGGCTAGATGAAACCCTGTTTTCTGCAACCCATCTTATTATTCTATTCAACGATGAGAATTGCTCAGGATTCTACAGAGATCACAGGCTTTTGCCATGAGTAGAACGATATCTGTGTAAAAAGTCGTGACGGGGTCTTGTGAGTCCCAAAGGCAGAGGAACATCTGGAGTGCCTTATTGGTTTTTTTTGTTTTTAAGCGAAAAGCAAAACTCTTTTTCATGTTTCATTGCTGAACCTCTCTGCATATTCCATTTAAATAACTTTGATTTTAGGTGTTTACACAATGAAATTGTATTTAGTTCTATGTAATAATCAAATTATTGAGTGTTGGGTTTTGTGTTTTCTGTAGTTTTTGGTTGTTTAAAGTTTTTATTCTCAGATTTCTGGTTAGTTGACTGCGTCTTGCCTCAGCTCCCAGATTGCTCAGCCCTTACTGATCCACGATCAGCATGGAAGGTGCTATAGAACTAGAGATGATGAGGATGTCTTCAGTTCTTCATCAGTTGCCTAAAGCAGTTTTTCCTAGTGGGGGTTGGGTCCTCATGACAAATCATGCAAAGCAGGTGGTAGTGACGTCCAACCCTAGTCCCTGAGGGCCATCCTGTATTTTTAGAGGTTTCTCCGCTTCAACACACCTGATTTTAATTGGTAAGTGATTGACAGGCTTCTGAAGAGCTCATGACCTGCTGAACAGGTGATGAAATCATTCAATCAGGTGTTGGTGCAGGGAAACTACAAAAACATACAGGTTTGGACACCACTGCCCTATATGCCCATCTCTTAGAGAGGTATCATATGAGCTGCTGCTCCATTTCTTTCTGTTTTGGGCTGTTTTAAAGCCAGTTGTCAGAATATTTCGCTACTTAGTCAAAATTAAACATGGAGTAAATGTAAAAATCTGGATTTATGTAGTTCAGGCACATGTCCAAGTGTAACAGGAAACCTTCCTCATGTTCATTCTTAGGTTTTCTCCCACCACCCTGAGCTGTACAGCCTTTAAATCCTCATCTATTGGTTTTAGTTGTCAGAGTTATTGCTGCGTCAAAACGTTTCTGCAGTAGCTATCTGCAATCTACAATAAAATGCTCTTAACGTGAGGCTCTGCATGTTAACAACTCAGAGAGAGAGTCAATGTGACTTAAGGGGAACTGAATTCTTTAACAAAAACAGAATAAGGACAAATATAAAGCAGAGATGTGTTTCTGTTAGAGGAGTTAACCTGTGGAATAGTTATGACGGTGACTTAAAAAGGTGTAGTTCGTTTTCCTTGTTTAAAAATAGAGTTTTAGAAAAATACAAATATCAAGAATGAAAAGAGCAAAAACGATGCTACTGAAACTCTTGATTGTTTTGCTCTGATGACGTTACTTACTTAAGGTGGAAAGTTTTTGGTTTCGTTTGTTTGCTTTGTTTCCTTTTCTGCAGGAGCTGCATGCAAAAAGATCTTTGTTAGAAGGGTTGGCGTAATAAGCAAATGCTTCAGCCAATGCCTGTCATGGTCTGCGTCTGCCCCTTCCTTCAGGTGCCTCCTGGTGTCCTCCATCCCTCTCTAGATTCCCTTTTGTGTCTCATAGCGCCCTCATGTGTCCTTTGTCTGCGTCTCATTTATGTGTTTTCTGTTTGTAGGCATTCGATCATCCCCATCCCCTCCAGTTGTAGCTCCAGCCTCTTTGTCCCCAGCTCTGTGTGTGTGAGTGTATGTGTATGTTTGTGTGTGTGTGTGTGTGTGTCCATTCCCCAATTCAGTGTGTGTGAGTGTATTTGGGTGTGATTGTGTGTGATTGTGTGTGTGTGAGTCCTTCCCTCAGTCTTTTAGTTCAGTTTTGTGTTTATCTGCCCTCCTTTGGTTCTGCTTCCCCATTTGGATAATTGTTGTCACCTGTCTTCCCTCCAGCCCTCACTCCACATACCTGCTTCCTGTTTCCCTAATTGTTCCTCCCAGTCTATTTAAGCCCTGCCTTGTCTCTGTGTTGTTGTCGGTCCATTGTATTTCTTGGTCAGCGTTGTTTTGTCTCCGGTCTCCGGTCTTTAGTCTATAGTCTCAGTCTTTAGTTCTCTGCTCAGAAGGTGAGCTTTTGGATTTTTGTCTTAGTTTAGTTATTTGGTTTTTGCCTTCGCCCCCCTTGGATTTTTGGTTCTCCTCCTAAATAAAGGATTTTTACGTTATACCAACTCCTGCCTCGTGTCATCCTGGGTTACTGCATTTTGGGTCCAAACCATCCTCTCAACGTGACAATACCTTTTGATTAGCCTTGTCTTTGTGGTATTTTTTTTCTTTAACATTTTCTTATTCACTGAGATATTTGAATGCTAATCAATAACGTTTTGAAAAAAACCCATAAATAAACAACAACAGTGGCTGGATGCATTATTAAAGCCAAACATTAGTCAGTGAAAATAAAGTTTATTTTGAGAAATAATTATTGAACAGTGACTCATATCCTGCTAGAAACGAGTTTATCTCTCCAGCAAGATGCTATCTTCCAGCACACAGACCTTAAAATAACACGGTGTGTCATATCTTAGCTGTGCTGCTTTAGAAGTAGCAGGGAAATGCAACCAATGACATTTACAGAAGTAGTAACAATCAAATCACTTTTAAGGGATCTATAAAAAACCACATAAACCTGAAACAGGCAAATCAAGAATTTTAGAGCTGTCTTATGGGCCATGCCCATCTGTACCGGGTCAGCCCGGGCCGGGTAGCCCCAGTCGGCCCCAGCCTGGCCCGGTTGATTCCACACATCCTTGTCTTAAGCCCATGTGGGCTGATTCTACCCACCAATCAGAGGCTTGCTCTAATGGAAGGTGTGAATGGGCTGATTCTACCCACCAATCAGAGGCTTGCATAAATGGAAGGTGTGAATTTGCTGTCAGCAGTGGGCGTGTTGGCCCTGGTCGGCCTGAAGCAGTACCCCTCGGGAAGAGGGCCGAGAATGAGCCTTGGTTGGCCCGGGAAAATTCCAGGCCACCCAGATATGTAAACAACCTACGCTACCCGGCCCGGGCCGACCCGGTACAGGTGGGAATGGGGCTTTATGGGCCATGCCCATCTGTACCGGGTCAGCCCGGGCCGGGTAGCCCCAGTCGGCCCCAGCCTGGCCTGGTTGATTCCACATGTCCTTGCCTTAAGCCCATGTGGGCTGATTCTACCCACCAATCAGAGGCTTGCTCTAATGGAAGGTGTGAATTTGCTGTCAGCAGTGGGTGTGTTGGCCCTGGTCGGCCTGAAGCAGACCCCCTCGAGAAGACGGCTGAGAATGAGCCTTGGTTGGCCCGGAAAAATACCAGGCCACCCAGATTTGTAAACAACCTACGCTACCCGGCCCGGGCCGACCCGGTACAGATGGGAATGGCCCATTAGTGACTGCTTTAGGCCCCAAATACGGTACTGTTGATATCTGTAAACTAATGTTTTTTCCTGTCAAAAATCTGTTGCACCAAATACCTCAAAATTAGGGCTCTTTGTTTAAAGTAAAGAAGGAATGAGATGTGTTTTCTTGTCAAATAGCAGATTTGAGGAACAACTTATGCGTGTTAAGCAAAGTGCATTAAATATTAAAAACCTAATTAAGCCTTTGGAATGAGTAGCGGGCCAGTCTGAGTCGGTGGGTTTGTAGCTGTAAAAGTAAATAATCCTGAGTAAAATCTGATTACGGTTAAATAAAATGCCTGTTTTAGAGCTAGAATAAGGTAAAACGGTGGCTGTGGCCTGGGAAAGGTCACAGCCTGTAGGTCGGTGTGGGCCTGCATCTTTCTTTAACATCAAATCATTGGTACTAATATCCAGAACTGTGTTTTATAGATGTAGGACATCAGCTCTGTCAGGAAGTACAAACATCTCCCTACTCTTACTACTCCGTCCCCCCAACTCATACACTACTAATACACACGTCCAATATTTGGAGGAGGATTTACAAAAACGTCTTTTCTTCACGGACGTCAGAACCGAGTCTCTGAGCTGCCCCTCTTCAGTGTGCTGTTACTGAACTCGTCCCGCTCAAAGCTCAGGTTGTTGTGTGATCTGGATATCATCAGCAGCTTCTCGCGCTTGCTGTAGTCGCGTCTCACAGACGCGGACACGTCTGCGAGCACCTCTCCCCGATCCTCCCTGTCCTCCAGGCGTGTGTAGCCTTTGCTGCTGCCCCGGTTTCCGGAATGACTCCGGCTGCTGTTGCTGCGGTCCAGCCGGGGCCAGCTGGGGTGTTTCCGCTGCTCCTGGTGCACGCTGAGCATGCTTGGCTCTCGCTCCAGGTCTAAAGATTTGGAGTGGCTGTTGAGCATGTGTAGAGAGGAGTTTGAGCCAAAGTCGCTCCTCGCTGCTCCCGGGGAAAGCCAGCAGCCTGAGGTAGAGGAGGGAGCAGGGGAAAGGGTGCAGGAGGAGAAAGAGGAGCAGCGAGAGGAAGAGGACGCAGAGTTGCTTCGGTGTAAGCCTGGTGGTTTGGAGGCCTTGGCAACAGATGCTACAGGGACCACCAGAGACTCCATGGAGCTGAGAGGCATTGACCTTTCTCCCTCTCTTGTCTCTCCTCCTCGCTCCTCCTCGGTTATTGCCTCCATCTCTGGTTCATCAATCACACAATTGTTGAGTTTGATAACAGGGAGGGTGAACGCAGAAATAGACGAGGAGACGATCGACCCCGCGTGGTGTCCTCCCTTCTCCCCATCTGCATCCACCGACCACTGGTGATGACCGTAGAACGAACGGTCCTTATAAAGCGGCGCCAGCAGCCCTGCGAAGCTACAATCCAACCTGGCCTGCTCCCCACGTCGACGAAACTCCTCATCTCCTAGCAGAACCTCCTCCTCTTCAGCTGATCCTCCACTTCCAGCCCGAGAAGCAAACGCCAGGAGTGAGTTGCCTGCCAGACGTGCAGCAGCGTCCGCTCCAAAAACCCGAAGATCGCCCTCTCTGGCGCATACGCCGTACTGTTTTTGTTCTTTCTGCCTGAGGCGATGGATGTCGATGACGGTGGAGTACATGTCTCTCATGTGGATTATCTAGTGCAGGGGGAGAATTAGATTAGCAACAGCGTAGTGTTTTATTACTACATAAATCAGCACAGTTGTGTACTTTATGTTGGATGTCTTTGGAATACATGTTTGGATAACAAGGGGAAAGACAGGAAGACAAGCGATTTTATCAAATCATGGAAAGGAAGGAGAGGCAATAAGAACGGAGAAAATGTCATCAAAAGAAAATTGCAGAGATGCAGGAGGAAGCAGGTTGGTAGAAATCAGATCTGCATGTTAGTTTTATCATATAGAGAAGCTTCTGGATGACTGCAGAGAACTCATCTTTCTACTGAGGGTGCTTGAATTATTCCTTTAGAATCAATCCTGCTTGAAAAGTTCCACGGACTTCTCTGGTCTTAAAGGGGCATTATGGAAGTGTGACAGCCAAAACATGTATAGAAATAATAAATGTCTTCTTCATACGTTCTCCTGCAATGCCCTGGTCCTGTAGAATGAGCCCTGGCATTTTTACTGTGATTGCCTGTTTTTCTGTAAAATCACAGAAAAAGAGAGATGCTCGGGTCGAGCAGGCTGCTTCATGCGCGTTCACGCTCAGGCATCGCCCGTAGCATTTGCTATCCGTAGCTTTAGCAGCAGAGAGAGAGAGGCAGTGCCACTTTGTCGCTGTTCCTAACGCCTAGTGACAAAGCTAGCTACATTTCTGAGGACCCTTAGCTACTTTCTGTAGAACTTTCTTCTAGATATTTCCTGCAAATTAGCAACAAAATAGCCATTTTCACTCCGAACCGTTCTTTGAACGTTGTTTCAGCTGTCATCAAGGATATAAATGTTAGATACAGATACAAAGGACATCACTTTAGCGCTTTAGCTCACCTAGTAAGACGTCGGACTCTCGTGCAGCAGACCTGGGTTTGATTCTGGATGTGAACATAGTTCATTTAGAGTTTATTTTTTACATTAATGGTATATTTTTCTACAGTAAGATGCCCAAATTTTTATTTGAGACTCGCCGAATGGCATTGAATTCACAGATAAAAAAGTTGTGGGTTCAACTTTCATTTTGGAACAATTTTTCAAGCAAGGGAAGGGAATGATCTGAGCATGCAGGAGGACTGACCCATCATAAACCTTTGTCGGCTGTGCTGAAGAGAAAGGTACAGAACCAAATTATTTAATTAATTAGCTGCGCGTTCTCCTGTCCTCTGTCCTCCGGGCCACACACACACACACACACACACACACACGGGACTGTCTCAGCTGTTATTTTCGTTAAGGAGTGTCCACGTACAGCATGCGCGCCTCGTGCACGAGCCTACTATTGAAGCGGTCATTACGCTTTCGGCCTGAGGGGGCGATCGCGAGCATAAAAATTCTAAACTCCGTAAAGTCCCTTTAAACTAGTCTGGTTAGAAGAAGCACAGATTTCGGCCCTACCTTTGTTTCTCTGTCTCTGTTTTCATGTAGTATGGCGTTAGCACAGATGAAGATAAAAATCCCAATCCCCATGGTGAAGGGCCCGAGCATCTTCATCCTCTCAGAGTGAAGATGTTGTCCCAGGAATCTCATCAGGGGACCACCAGACTGCTGGGATGGCGGACCTAAAAGATGAAACACACAATGGAGTTTCAGAGTCAGATCCGGTTTCATTAGAATGTAGCATCAACAGTTTTCTCAGTTGTTACCTTGAATTTCGTGAGTCGTGTTGCTCACTTCCTTCTCAGCCTTCGCTGCATTTCCTGCTCCGGTAGGCGTGGCTTTACCGTGTGGCCAGTAACCCAGCGTCGCCATACCGATCCCTACTCCCAGGATGATCAGTCCCAGAAAGAGGAAGAACCCCGAAGCCGAGTAGAGGCGGAGCCTGCCACGCACCACCACCACGTCAGTGCGGCGTTTCCGTCGTCTGGATAAAAATACGGTAAATGAGGAGAGTTTTTAAGAGATGTTTAAACCTCTGGCATTGCACGTAAATCACCATCACCTGGGGGCAGTCTCAGGAGCGTGGCTGGCCAGCGAATGGGCGGGTCGATGCTGAGAGCGGGCCGAGTCCTGCCGCTTCAGCTTGGCCAGGCCTGTAAGTACACCCGCTGCTGCCGTCATGCTTCACCTGCAGACATTAGGAGATAAACGCATGACTCACAGTTTTCCCTTCATAATAAAAATATAAATCATCTAAAGTAGCAGAAGATAAACAAACGTAGCACGCCACTCTACAGGTTCCTCCAGAGTTAAAAAAAAAACAAGCAAAAAATTGCCAAAGCTTTAAAAAAAACTGAGGTGCTGTTGAGGGATTCTCTGTGAATTCACATGGAAACTTCTGGTTTATCTCAGGATTTTTACTAAAGTGCATCACCATGGTAACTAACTATGAATACCGAAGGTGTTCTGGGACCAAATGTGTACATATTAAAGGTGGATGCATGAGAAAAAGCACCACATCATTAATTACATCCTGAGACCATGAGATCTCTCCTTTGACCAGCAATCATCTGTGTTAGATGGATTCTAAGACAGAAAGGTGATAAAATGTGGTATAAATCCAGTGCTTTAAATAATAATAATAATAATAATAGCAATAATAATGATAATAATAATAATGATGATGATAATAATCATAGTAATAATGATAACAACAACAATAATTCCAATATTAATAATAATGATGATGATAATAATAATAATAATGATGATGATAACAATAATTACAATAATAACAATAATGATGATGATGATAACAATAATTACAATAATAATAATAATGTTAATAATAACAATAATAATAATAATGATGATGATGATGATAATATTAATAATAATAATGTCGATGATGATGATATTAATATTAATAATAATAATAACAATAATAATAATGATGATGATAATAATCATAGTAATAATGATAACAACAACAATAATACCAATATTAATAATAATGATGATGATAATAATAATAATAATGATGATGATAACAATAATTACAATAATAACAATAATGATGATGATGATAACAATAATTACAATAATAATAATAATGTTAATAATAACAATAATAATAATAATGATGATGATGATGATAATATTAATAATAATAATGTCGATGATGATGATATTAATATTAATAATAATAATAACAATAATAATAATGATGATGATAATAATCATAGTAATAATGATAACAACAACAATAATACCAATATTAATAATAATGATGATGATAATAATAATAATAATGATGATGATAACAATAATTACAATAATAACAATAATGATGATGATGATAACAATAATTACAATAATAACAATAATGATGATGATGATAACAATAATTACAATAATAATAATAATGTTAATAATAACAATAATAATAATAATAATGATGATGATGATGATAATATTAATAATAATAATGTCGATGATGATGATATTAATATTAATAATAATAACAATAATAATAATGATGATGATGATAATAATATTAATAATAATAATGACAATGATTATAATATTAATATTAATAATAACAATAATAATAATACAAATTACATTCAAGGGTTTGGTATCCTGAGCTAATTTAAGATTGTAATGAAGATGCTTCTGATTCTGTTTAATATCAATGCAAAGAAAACATCCTGCATGAAAGTGAATCATTGGGACAAGAATTGGGTACAAAATCATTGAATCTTAGCAGCCCTGTTAACTTTTATAAACATTTTCAAACAAGTTTCAAACCACAGTGGTTCTAGAAGACATTCAGAAGTCACTGGAGCTTAGATAAGTGGAGGTGATCGTAACATTTCTTCCTTTTAGTGATGTCATGAACTGTGTGGCCTGTAGCTCTACATTAATCCTACATGGCTGAAGCTTTTTTCTCGTTCCTGTTATGCGTCATCTTTGAGCCACTGTCTGAACATTGGGGTGTTCTGATCATTTATATTTGCGTGTACAGCAGGGGCGGTCCCAGGGAGGGCCCAGGGTGGATCCCCTTGTGCCCCCCCCCCCCCCACCCCCCCCCCCCCGCTGAGGCCATTAATGGGTTTAAAATGTTTTGCGATAATTTTGCTTAATGCAAAATGTGCAACCAAGGCACATGAATTAATTCATCTGAAGTTGAAAATAATTGCTGAGGCAAATAAATAAATAAATAATGTTGAAGTTTTTCTTTGCTAAACACTTTTATTTCAAAGCTTTATAAAAACAAATTGGGGGGGGGGGGGGTGCTGTAATTACTCACTTCATTCTGAAATCTTTTTAAATAATATCTGTAATGTTTTCATACAAATGTGCCTCTTTAACAGAGAAGCTGTTCATTTTAAATTATTCAACCAAAGACTTTGAATCGAAGCTCTGACCAATGTGTGTGTATGTGTGTGTTTCCTGCAGAAAGTGAGTGTTATTATAATATTTTTAGTACCTATTATTGATGTAAATCCACAAAAACACACAACCACTACAGCTGTGTCCTCAGCTTACTAGCAGTGAAACTCTGTTGGTTTTTCAGCCTAAGGACATCATTAGTGTGCAGGAGTTTTCATGCATGTGTGTGAGTGTGTGTGTGTGCATTCTAATGAAGTGCTTCTTCCTGGATTAGTCCAAAATACACTTTAGAATCAGCAACATCGCAGAGACAGAATCTAAAACAAGGTCGTGAATTTTAATCTTGCGTCATTTACTTCCCGTGATTCTGCATTTATGATGTTTATGTTTATTCTGAGAGTTGTCATCCTTACATATAATAATTCTGCAGTAACACCATGTTCAGATTAATCCTCTCCTCTGTGCGCTCCAGCTGCTCAGAGTCTATTAATAGTTATTAGAGGAAGAGGGTTTTTAAACAATCACAGGCTTATTTCAAGGGCCTCCATTTGACTCTAAATGCTTTATAATCTGGTTTAACTTTAACATTGGTATTGTTAAGGGAAACACGAGAGGATTAAACTGTCCATATGAGAAGCAGAACAACCTTTTTAACTACAAATGGACTGTTTGAGGTGCTGCTCGTGTACAAATGCTGCAAAAGTCTAAATAAGGTAAAAGTCTAGCTTTGGGGGGGGGAAGCAGAGTCGCAGCAATTTAACAGAGGTGGCCATAGCCGCCCGTTTAGGGCGCCACTATTTTGACGACTCAGATTCTTAAAGGTGCAGCAGAGGACCTTGTTCTTCAATCAGATTTATTTATTTATAAAGCGCTTTTCAAGCAAAGTGCTTTATAAAATGACCCCAAATTCCCTTAACAGTTTAAAACATTAACAGACATATGCACACACACACACACACACACACACACACACACACACACACACACACACACACACACACATCAGTAAAAATTTATATTCGGCTGAGTCCAGATGAGCCCAGTAAGGTAAGGCAAGGAAACGCCAACAGAGGAGCCGTCTGCCTCGGCAGCATCAGGTATTCCACACTAAGTCAGGGCGCTCAGAGGAGGGGGAGCATAGACCCCCCACCTCCACTTAAACACCACCTGTAGAGCGCCCAGGAAGCAACAGCCGACCACCGCCCCCGGGGCAGAGGGCCCCTACAGAGAAAACACTGGATTAAAATGAGTAAAAATATGAAAATAAAAGAGTTAATATAAATGACAAAAGTAAGAAAATAAATAATAAATTACAATCATAAAGACAGAGAGTAAAATAATAATATTAAATAATGAAACCGTGCTAAAATATAATCATAAAACATGCAAAGCAAGCAATAAAATATAATCATGTGAAACGAGGAATAAAACTAGTAAATATTTAGATAAAAGCAAACCTAAATAGGTGGGTCTTTGTCACACCCTGTCCTGTCTCCCCATTCTGTTCAGTCCTGTGTCCGTGTTAATTGCTCCCACCTGCCTCTCGTCTCCCAATCACCCACGGTCCCAGCTCCTGTATTTAAACCCTGTTAGTCCATGTTGTCTGGTTGGTTCATTGTTTCATTGTCCTGCGTGCCCTCCATCAAATCAGTGTTTTAAATGTTCCTGTCTGCCTCTCTGCCTGTTGCTTCCCCTGCACTTGGATCCTCACCTCTGTCTCACTCACCGGCGCTCGCTGACAGAAGGGTTGGTTCATTCTGTCAGCGCGCGCCGCCCGGGGTCATGTTTCACCCGGACCGAAATAAATGACGCACATACGCACTGCACTGAACGCACACGCGAGTAGCGAATGTAGCTTAACTTTCTCTTAAGCCATGGCGGACAACGTGGACCCCGGTGGAGTGCGAAAGACAGAAAATGTCAAAGGTGTGGCACCATTTTTCACGTCGTAAGGCGGAAAGCGTACTCCAGTGTAAAAACTGTAAAATGGATGTAGCCTAGCACACCACCACGTCCTCCATGCTGCAGCACCTGACCAGGAAACATCCACATGTCAATGTCACTTCTGCAAGTAGACTTGGAGGTCTGCTATATGTTCTGCGGACACTGTGTGACATTTTCGTTTGTAGCGCTCAGTTTCAGCTCACACCGTGCGTCTGCTAGCAACACGTCGGACCTAAAAATGTGCTAAAAATAGCAGTTTTTACAACACGTCAGACTTATTATGTGTTGTTATTAACATCTGTTGTCCCTCGGGATCGCTGCAGGAGGACATGGGTATTTATGAGTGGCGGAGAAAAACAAAAGAAAGTAAATAAATGTTGTGTGATCAGTATAATTTGACATAACCACGGCAAACATGCTTTCTCGGCAAGCCTTGTTAGTGTGAGAAAAAAAAAGTGTAGAAATTAAAACGAACGTGTGTTAATAGGGAAACAGCTGGCGAGCCATGTTTGCGCATGCGCCGTGAGCGGTTCTGGTGCTGTTTGGGCCGCGGCCGCTCGCATTTGTTTACTGTGAAGTAAAGTTGAAGCGCTGAAGTTTTTTTTTTCATTTTTCATTTATTGACATTAAAATAAAAACAGAAAAAAATACTACTAACCAAAATGAAAAAGGGGACAGAAAGAAGAAAAACTTATGCTATCTGCCCCTTTTAACTAAAATAACATTAATACAAAAAAAATTGAACAATATAGTTCCTGGACCGGTTGGCCCACACAAACCCAACCCATGAATCGAAAAATCAATTTAAAAAAGCGAAAACGAGTTACACAGAGAGAAGCATAAAGTTGT